GCTGTCTTTTTTTCCTTCGGGTTGTGATCATTCATGTCTCACTACTCCTGGGAAAAGTTTTTCAGAGATTTCTGTATTTGAAAATTTTTATTGAGAGAGAGTAGTGAAGTGGTGAAGTTTGGCAATGTACGGCAGGGTTTAGGAGTGGAGGAGTCATCCTGACTTGAGCAGGTTTCATGGGAGCAGGGCTGTGACCTGTTCACTGCACTGTCCCTGCTCTAGAAGCAGCCAGGAGCTAGCTAAGAAGGGGTGGTACTTACCAGCTTCATCATCACTGCTGTTTGTTTTTCTCTTCCTCGAACTTCTCGTGGGCCATAAAGTTCCCTAGCATATCTTCTTTAAACATTTACGTTCTTGGATCATAAGACTGCCTTTTAAGCACGTCACCCGGTTTGAGTATAGGATTGCTTCCTTGTATGAGACCAAGTTGGGAGCATGTTGTGTTTTTCAACAAGGGCCTACTCATACCCACTTGTTTACTGATTTTTGCCAAAGTCTGATGAAAGCGCAAGAAGCAGTCTCGGAGGACCATTGTTCAGCGCATCCTTCATGCCTCACTGGCCCTTCTTCCTTGAAACCTTGGCCATGCAAGAAAGTGTTGCCTCTGCATTTGCCCTGAATGGAGTCTTCTCATACCTCTTAAGACCTTTTCCTAAAGTCTGAGATCATGTCATTTTCTTTCTTGAAAATTTGTCATTCGTACACTGCTGCTTCTAAAACTGAACATATGTTTGTTGGTGTGGCATTAAAGCCCCCGAGAAGGAGACCTGAACTGTCTCGCCAGTGCTGGCCATGTGCGTCTTCACACCCGAGACTTCAGTAGCATGTCATTTGCCTCCTTGTGCTGCAGTGACTCCCTGCTCACTTGCCGCCTGTGTTGCTGTCCAGATGTCATTCTTCTCCAGACAGCGTTCGTTAGGCTGGCGCCCACCCTGGGTCAGTGTGAGCTCATCTCAACGTGGTGAGCTGCGCAGGGCCTTAGTGCAGAGAGCTCAGGCTTGCAGGTGTGGGATTCAGCCTGGGTCGTTCCAGTTCCCCAGGTGAATATAGTCATACACTGCAAACATGCAGCAGCACAAACAAGTTGGGAGTGCTAAGACACGATCATACCTGTTAGGTCGCTCCCTCAAACCATAGTACATAGTCATCTGTATTTTAAACAAATTCTGTTTTCTATACTTCAGATATTTAACATATTGTTTTCCACCTTTCATGGGAATAATTCAGACTTTGGCTACTCGCTTCCTGCTCTTGATGAATAGCTCCAGAAATAAGGCCTAGTTTCAATTATTACTGAGCATATTTTAGCATTGCAGAATTTTAAAGCCCAAGAGGGTTTATATGTTTTGTTAAAATCTTACAGTAAGGAAGGGCAGGCCATGCTGTTTCTTTGTGTCTGAAGTCAGACAGTGGACAGGTGATGCTTTGAGCCCTGATGCCAGCTGTGGTGGTCTCTTCTTACTCTTAGCCAAAGCAGAGAAATGAGCAGGTTGTCTGTAAAATACATTTGCCTGAAATACTGAGATAGTCCAAGGCAAAGCTATGGCTTACTTTTCCTGCCCCTCTGAGTCTTGCGGAGTTCCCCTCAGCAGTGCCCTGTGGAACCTTGGTCTGTGCTCACCGTGAGCGAAAGCAGGCTTGCTGTGTGGCTGCTAACAGCCCAAGCCATGTGCAGCAAGGTGGTATGGAGAAGACCTGCAGTTTGCTGGGAATTTCTCCACATTATCTCCTTTGTCTTCACAGCAGGCCATGCAAAAGTTGTTGAGGAGAATTCTCTAAGGCTGTGAAACTAGGGAGGGCAAACTGAGGCGGTCTGAGGCCTGGCTCCTTCCCAGTACTCACTGCATGGCCTTTGCTCGGCCTCTCTTTCTTCCTTGTTGCTAACTGCTTTTCTGTGCCATGTTAGAGGTGGTGAATGTGAACAGGAGCAGCAGGATCTTCAGAGTAAAGATGATGCTCACGTGTGAGAAAAGAATTTTCTTCACATTTCATAAAGTGCTTTTTAGAAATTTTGGCTAAAAAAAATGAAACAACTGACATGCATACTTTACCTTCCTGTGTCTTTTATTTATATCTGTTTTTAATTTGGAAAAAATGGGCCATTTAATAAGGTGTTATGATCATTATTACATTTGAACTCTGATAAACAGGCTGTTTTTACTTTTATATTTGAGTCAGTGTTCTTTCTTATAAGGACAGAATAACTTGCTTTGTAAATTAGAATGCCATTTTTGCAAAATATAATTACTAGAGCAAAAATAGTTGGAACAAGAAAATGTAGAGCCATTGCCGGTAAGTGCTTGCCTGGTCCGCGCAGCAGTGTCAGCTGTTTTCTTTTTGGGCTGAGGTTGAACCGAGGGCTGCATGTGAGCCAGACAGGCCCTCCAGCCCTTGGGACATTTTCTTCTTTTTTGTTTTTGTTGAGGGAATTAGAGGTTGAACCCAAGGCCTGCACACTAAGCTGTATTCTCAGCCTTTTTAAAATTTTTTTATTTTGAGATATGATTTTGCTAAATTACCAAGGTTGAGTTCCAATTTATAATCCTCCTGCCTCAGCCCCCCAAAGTGCTGGGATTACAGGCATGTGCCACCACACCTGATTCATACTATGTTTTAATGAATAGTTTTAGAGAGTGTTTTAATGATCTCATGTAACTTTCAAATTTAGTTGTGTGGGTCGCCATCCTCACCTTTGTTTGTCAGGTGGGGTGCTAACGCAGGAGCAGCTGGTTTCACATGCCAGCCAGAATCTGCCTCATTCAATTGCTCACCTCTGCTGCCTGGCATTGACTTCACTCCAGGCAGGTGCTCGCCTCGTGAGGTGGAGGTAACCTCCAGCAGTGCCAGGGCCGCCTTTCCTAGCCGAGCCACTGAGTTTGGAGCTGGTTGCCAGCTCCTCTGGGTCATGAGGCTGCGTCTCACTGGCTACACCTAGACCACAGCCACGTTTGAAAGGAAAGACATGTCCAGAATGAGCTGGCCTTGCCATCGCCAGAACAAGGAGGACAGGGTGCTGGGCATAACTTGCAGCACAGGTGGTGGAAGGTGCAGCCAGAGCTCTGTATTCTTTGCTGCTGGGATTTCAAAAATAGATCTGCTATGTTCAAAGATGTTCAGTGTTAACTGCCATTGTCAGAAAAAGGAAAGGATAAAAAATACAAAGCTTGTGGTTGAGTTCCAGGCTCTGTCACTTTTCTTTAAAATTCGTGGCACTCACAGAGCTCTGTGGTGGGGATTCCTGTTGTGGAGCGCCCGGAGCTCATGTATCTTACTTGGCGCATGCAGCAGCTCCGAGGTCAGCATCACTGTGCGCTCCGCACTGATGCAGAAAGGGCCGAGCCTGTGGATCGAGTCAGTGTGTCTGCTTCAGTTGCCCAGTGTCCTACTTGTAGAGTTTGCTGCACAGGTCCATCCATCTGTCCACCGTAGCCCCTCCAGAACCCTCCATGCCCCCTTCCCGCAGCTGTCCCAGGCTCGCACCCCCTCAGTTCTGCCTCCCGAGCGCACCTCTGTGCTTGCCCACTGCTCTCTCCCGGGCCTGGACCTTTATTCCCCATCCTCTGCAGCCTTTGTGCTTCTGGTGTTAGTCCCAGCCCCGCTTTCGGTAGGGCGGCCAGACTGCACGTTCGGATGCAGAGACGGAGACGGAGACGGGGTGGGATCTGCTCAGCTGCGTGCTCCCCTTGGCGGGCCGCCCCTGCCTGCATGCCTTCTGGCCACCTTTCCTTGGGTTGTGTTTTGTTGCCTGCTGCTGCAGTCTTACATCTTCCCTGGCCCTTTGTCTTCTCAGGGTGTTCTCTGTGTACTTTCTCTCCTTCACTTCTTCAGGTCTATGTTTAAATGTCACTTTCAGCCCTCAGGGACTGCTCTGCCTTCCTTCCTCCCCCTTAAATATGGAAATTGGAGGTCTTTCACAGCCTTTTCTTTTCCTTCTTACACTTTAACAATCTACAGTTATATGTAGACATGTGATTACTTGCCTCGTATTCCTCACGGAACCACAACCTCCATGAGGAGGTCTGGCCCAGGGTGTCTGTCTGGGCGGCTGTGAGTGCTGGGTTTGATTCATAAGGAGTGCTCACTTTTCCTGTAGTTTTTTTATTCGGATGTCAGTCATTACTTAAGAATGAGCATGTGTTTTCTTCAGAGGAGCTCTAGCCCCATAGCTTGTGGTTTACTTATGAATAAGCTATGCACCAGGCTTGGTGACACACACTTGTAATCCCAGCATTTGAGAGGCCAAAGCAGGAGGATTGCTGTAAGTTCAAGACCAGCCTGGGCTACATAGTGAGTTCAAGGCCAGCCTGAACTGTCTAGTGAAATTCTACCTAAAAAAAAAATAAAAAAAAATAAACTATGCTGCACTTCTTGCCAGATACTGTCAGCAGCAGTTTAGAGACTGAACAGTGATGGCTGCGGACTTTGAGCCCTCTGCATCAGAGCAAATGTTATCGAACAAGATAATACATTTGGGGGTAGTAGCCCTCAAGATATGGCCTGTGTGTGATGGGGACAGCCATAGGCACTGCTGGCTTGCTCCAGGTGGTTTTGCCCAGTCATGCTGAGGTTCAGGGCCCCCCCCCCCCGACTCTGAGGTGTTGTCCCCAGAGCCCAGGCACCCCTCCCTAGCCCCCCCCCCGACTCTGAGGTGTTGTCCCCAGAGCCCCAGGCACCCTTCCCTATCTTTGCCTGTCCTTGTGATTTCCAGCTGTCATCGGTGCCCAGAGTAGCTTTGGAAGGAGAAACTTCCTTTGGTGGTTCATTATCGGAAACAGCCTCCCCGCCTCAGCCACAAGAGCTGGTACGGGGTACCCCCTTGGTGTCCACATGTGGGGCCTTCTGCAGCAGACTGACCTACTGCCCTGGGTCCTAGGGCTGTGCTGTCTGGGCACAGCAGTGCCCACTGGCATGCATAGCGCACTGGCCAGGGCACTGAGTACTCACGAGTACACCAGGCATTTCGAGTAGCTGAACTTGTGTCTCCCTTTTAAAATTTGCAGTTGGTCCTGTTCAGAGCTGGACCTGAGTGAGATTCGCCTGATAGTTTACCAGGACTGCGAGAGGAGGGGCAGACAAGTCTTGTTTGATTCTAAAGCTGTTCAGAAGATTGAAGAGGTGGCTGCCCAGGTATGATGCACTGATTTGCTTCCCCTTTTTCCATTTGTCCTTTTCACCATCTCTTGGATCAGTCCCTTACTAACCTGCAGTCCTTCCTTGAGCTGTACTGGAGTCCACCATGGTTTAGAAAAAAAGTCAGCCACCCTCTTGGCACACACAACAGGCATGTTGTGCCCACTTATGAACCAGGGGAACTGTTGGTGAAGAATAGTGTAGGTGCTGGCTGTGGGCTATAAGTACTCCTAGAGGGAAGTTTGTGGGTCAGCTGGGATCCAGGAGGATTTTGGAGCCAAATGTGTGCATCCAGTGGGGTAAGAAAATAGCTTTAAACTTGATAAAGCAACTAAACTGTTCACCTGAAGGAAAGTTAATTTATCATTTTGGCCCGTGTTTCTTGTAGGTAATCAAAAGCACATATAACATCATGTTAAGGAAAATTTACATTCCTCTCATAAGCTTGACTATGTCGACAGAAATTGTCGTCTTGAAAGGCTGTCTTCTCTTCTCAGCACTGACCAACTGAGGAAGCATCTATTCTTGTCCCTTGGGGGTGGGGAGGGTGGTGGGCAAGGGACCCGGAGTGTGTAGAGTGGAGGCAGAGCAGAAGCAGCAAGGTAACATGTCTGAGAGAAGGCGCTGGCAGATTGCTCCTCAGGTGTCCGTGTTAGACCGCCTCGCTTAGCAGTGCTGTCCGGATGCTTACAAGTTAGACGTACCGCTTGTCCTTATTCTGTTCCTGTTCAGAGCTCCTTCCCGTGGGGCAAGAGGCTATTTCTCTTTTCATTGGGATCATTTCTGAGGAGGGACGGATGTGGTTGGAGGCAGCTGACCTGGGTGACGGCCAGTGCTGGGTGGCTTCTGCCAGGTAGCTAGCTAATCCTTACAGTGGTTGTTGAGCTCACTGGGCAGCTGGAGGACAGAGCTACAGGCCTCTGAGGTGAGCCACTGCGGGCTTTGAGGGGAGATTGGGATCAAAAGTCCGGTGAGCAGCACATAACCCTTTGCTTGGTGGCCAGGCCGCGGTGTTGCCTGAGCTCCCCGAGTGCCTGGCACAGGGGGCTCACTTGAGCACCATCCCATGCTCAGGGCTGCTAATGGTGGTGGGCAAAATGCCCTCACTGGAGTTTTTGTTTGTTTTTATTTTTTGTTATTCAAGACAGGGTTTCACTGTGCAATTCAGGCTGAACTTGAGCTTCCTACATAGCCCCAGCTGGCCGGGAATTTACAGTAGTCCTCCTACCTCAGCATCCAGTGCTGGAGCTATAGTCATGAGCCACCATGCCTGGCACCTCAAGGATTTTCGAAAGAGCTGCAGTTGGGGTGTACCAAACAGTGGTACCTCTGGAATCTGAAACATGGGCTATCTTAGAAACGCTCATTTAATCAAAGAGCTTAGACTCGAGGACATGGGTGGCATGCCCGAGACTGCAGTAGAGCCCAGTTGATGCTTCCCATGCCATGCAGGACCCTGTGCTGCTGCACCTAGAGTCTGCCTGCTCAGTGTGTGCCCGTGCTGGCTGCAGCCTGAGGGGTGCTAGGTGAGGTGGGTGAGACTTCCTGTCATCTGAGGCCCTCTCAGGGGCTGTGCTTCTGCTTAAGTGGAATTAAGTAACAACTCAATCTAGAGAGGGTGTTGAGGGACTGCTCTGTGTCAGGGTTAACTGGAGTGACTTTGAACTCCGAGTGCTATCCTTACCAGAGTGCCTGTCACATTGTATGTGTTCCTTTTCAGCCCCGCCCCCAGGCACATGCATGGCTGTAGACCAGCAGTGTGACCGGCACACTGAAGAGTAGATGAGCTGCCATTGGTCCATGGTTTTCCAAGCAAAAGCTGTACAAGCAAGAAAGAGGAGGGGAGGCAAAGAAGATTCAGAGTAGAAAGTGCATCTCACAGAAACGTTAGGGTGCGGCCACCAGGAGTGATGTTTTTGGTGGAGGTTGCTGGGGTGAAAATCAGTAAGGTTTCTCTGTGCTTGCGTCTTACTGTGCTGACCAGCAGTGGGCTCCTCTGGAGAGCACGCCTCGCCTGGTCCTCCATAGGGTACACCTTTTGGATAGGCCGCATTGCATCATTGCCTTGTGACTCACAGAGGTTCCTGTTTGGGGGTTTGGGCTTTACCTTGCCCAACTCCAGCCTCATGATTTTCCTTCCTGGTACAGTTACAGGAGTACTGGAAGAGGTGTCCTGTTACAAAAACAAAATCAGCTTGTCCAAATTAACAGCTTTGTTTTCTGAGTTCCATTTGTTTGGTAAACATTTGAGTGTTATCTTTCTCCTTTTCAGTTTCATAAATTATGACTGCACATGGTATAAAAGAAAATTTAAGAACCACACAGAGGTCAATTCTCATGGATGGGTTTTCAGTATAAACTTAGTATAACTAATAAGTCAAACTATTTGAGGTGAAGGAAGTCTTAGTATAGAACCCGCCGTTTTTTGCTCAATACCAGTCTGCAGCATTCCCCCTTTCCAGATACTGTAGACACTCAGAAACCAGATTTCAGTCATTATAGGGGAAGCAAGGTGAAAAGCTTTTGGACTCTAGCACCGTGAGCGGGAGTCGTGGTGCAGAGTGTGCCGATGGAGCCCATACGCTTGCTAACCCTACCCACACCCGCCTCTCAACCCAGAGAGCAGATGGGCCCAGCAGAGTGCCGGCTCGAAGCCGTCCAGGAAGCAGCAGTGGGGGTGCGGACGTCTGCGCCAGCAGCTCTGGGGCGTCTTCACACCATGCCAAGGAGCCGCTTCCGAAGTACCAGGTGAGGTGCCCTTGCCCTCAGAGTCCATGGGCCGGGGTGAGCTGTCCCGGTTTGCCTGGGCTCAGGGCTGTCCTCGGGCACGGGAACAGGTGCGTAACAGCATGGTCTTTTTTTTTTGGCGGAACTGGGGATTGAACTCAGGTCCTTGGCATTTATTCTACTGAGCCATCTGCCCGGCCCCTAACGGCATGGTCTTGATGCAGCAGACGGTGCTGTTTGCTGTCGGCTTTCACATCTCAATGAAGCTATAATCAGGTCGCAGTGAGCTACCTGAGGACGCAGTACATACTGAATAAGGAAGAAGTAGGGCAAATGAAGTACATTATCTCGAATTTCTTCTCCTTTGTCGGATCCAGCATAGTAGGCACACATTCTGGCTTTATTATAAGAGCTCAGATTCTACAAGTGTGTGCCGACATCTCGAGAAGCTAGAAATCCACAGCAAGAGGGCGTTTTTATACCTGGGTGGGGTGTGTGTGTGTGGTAGTGGGAGATAGGGATTAGGGTTCTTCAGAAACACCGACCAGCTACAGGGAACGCGATTTATAAATAGTGACTATGGAAAGGTAGTGATTAAGTCAGCATTTTTACCCTTGTGCGGTCTCGCTGGCTGTGTTGCTGGAAGAGCAAGGCCAGGGAGTCGTCAGCATGTGAGACTCAGCGGCGGGGCTGCCGCCCGCTGGGTGCCGCAGCTTTGCGGGAGGACGGAGGTGGCCCCGAGAGCGGCCACAGCACGGCGCACGGGGTAGCCCTCAGACGCGGGGCTGGCGTGCAGCTCGTGGCAAGCAGGATGACGCCAAGGGGTGAGGAGGCAGACTGGTCGGAGCTGGAAGAGTCACGTGTTTTTGTAAGATTTTAGTGCAGTTAGACCATCTGTTGTCTTTTGGACTCACGCAAACCCCTGACTGCATCAGTTGGCAGGGGTTTTTTTTGCCAACACTGTTAATGATTTAGTTAAAAACACTGAGCCGTATTTCTTCATAGGTTCTGTTCTTAGTGCTAACAATTTACCCTTTTGCTTTCATAATTTAATGTTTTTATAAATATAGTGATAATCTTTGTTTATAATAATATTTAAAAAATGAAAGCTGATAAAATGCTTGGATCCTGTGTGAACATAATGTGTATAAAGAAGTCAAGAACATTAGTATTATCTTGGAGGAAAAACTCAGGCAGTCATCAGCCTAGATCATGTTTTAAGAAATAATTGCAGGGCCTGAGGAGCTAGCTCGGTGGCCTAAGTGACTGCTTGTCAAGCACAAGGACCTGGGTTCAATCCCGGTACCACATGCCAGGCAGGCCGTGAAACCCCTGACGTGCTTTGCTGGCCACTGAGACCAGGTGTACTGGTGCACCCCTGTAATCTCATCACTGGGGAGGCGTCTGAGCTGTGTAGCAAGACCCTGTACCAAATAAATAAGTAAATAATTAAAAAAAGAAAAAAATAATTGTAGACCGGTATGATGGCACATGCCTATAATCCCAGCACTGGGGAGGCTGAGGCAGGACGATTGTCATTAGCGTGAGGCCATCTTGGGCTACAAAGTGAGTTCAAGGCCAGCTTCAATTACACAGCAAAAATCTTAAAAAGAAAATAATTACTTTTATCTATAAAACTGGAAAAGTGATGAATAACCATAGTTTTCTGTTGCATTGTCCTTGGTGTGGTTTCATGCTCTAACCTGACTTCGGTTCCTTGCAAGTAGTACGCAAGGCCGGCCTCCGATGTCAACATGCTTGGAGAGATGATGTTTGGCTCAGTCGCCATGAGTTACCAAGGCTCCACGCTAAAGATACACTATATCCGGTGAGTATAGGCCTCTGCTTTGTTGGCTGTGAGAAGGGGCACTGGTCAGCCCGACTCCTTAATGAAGTGTGCGTGCTTCCTGTCTTGCAGCTCCCCTCCACAGCTGATGATCAGTAAAGTCTTCTCTGCTAGAATGGGCAGCTTCTCTGGAAGCACAAATAAGTAAGTGTGCATGTACACACCCCTCCTGCTCTTCTGGTGTGTTTGTTTCTGGGTAGAGCCTTTCCTCAGTCATGAGATGCTTAGAGATGCGAAGCAGCATGCGTCAGAGTCCCCCAGGGACTCAGAAGTGGACACTTGGCAGCGGTTTCTCAGGTGCTCGTCAGCACTCTGACACTATTTTATAATAGTGTCACCTTTAGAACACCTTGTATCGTCATTTCTGAAGGGTTGGGTACACAGATTCCTTCCAGGCTGAGTGTGTCCAAGGGGCATCAGGGCCAGAGCCGCTTTCCTCGTCACTGACAGGCAGGCAGCTGGGCTTGGGCTCTCGCTGCTGAGGTCCACTCTTCCTACACTGCTGAGGAGAACACAATTCTGGAGTGTCTAACTTGCCCCCCTCTTGCCACCTTTAGTGTTACAGATTTTGAACTTTTAAGCGGAAATACTTCATATAGGGCCAGCCAAATAGTGAATAGCTCAGTGGATTAAAGCACCTGCAAGCAGGTGCAGGGGCCGGGGTTCAGTCCCCAGGCCTGCCAGGCCTACCCTGTCCCCGGGGCATGCTGAAACGGCAGTTGAGACTGGGTGTGGTGGCACACATCTGTAATCCCAGCTCTGGGGAGGCTGGGATCCAGGTGGATCACTATAAGTCCAATCTAATAGTGAGACCCTTCCCTAAAAATACAAAAATAAAAGAAAGAAAGAAAGAAAGACTTCATATACTTGTAAGAAAATCAATCAACAAAAACATTTGTTAAACTTTGATAAACTGAAAGACTTGCTGTATTTTAAGTAGCATTCATAAGGATCAGATGAAGGATTTTTTTTGTAATCCCTGGAAAGTAAAGTCATGCATCTCTGTATATTTGGGTGCCACTATATAAGTCTTTGCTTATACTTCAACAAAACAATGTGAGCACATAATACTAGACTGTCATGACATAAGGCACTAGGAATGTAATTTTATTTCTTAATTGATATCCCATTTTCAGGCCCTTTGGATTAACAGTGTTTATCACACTAAGCCCTTACAATAAAATACTGAGCTCAAATTTAAGTAAAAATTATTTTGGTTTCCTTAAGCTATATTACCACATAACTCTCGGTATTTATTTTCTTGTTAAAAAATTCGCTGTTAAAATCTGCTCCTTTCATGTGTTTTATGAGTGAATTCTAACTCCTAAGAAGTTTTGAAATCAGACTTCTTGGGAATCATAACTTCTGACATATCTTTTCCCTAAAAAATGTGGCCGAATTATTCATAAATGTTAATTAAGAGTTAAAATTAATTTTGAGGGTTTATGTAAAACTTTTGAAATGAATAGCAACATCTTGGGTATTGGTTGCTAAAGCAGAATTTAGAGATGGATAGCAGCATTCTAGGCGTCGGTCACTGAAGGGAAACTTCAGCGTTTGGTGTTCCCTTATAGCATATGGAATGCAAGGAGTGTGGTGCTTTAGGAAGGACTGGATTGTGTCCAGAACATTTTTATTTCCCCTAACAAATTCCTCCAAAGTTGCCCCTTCAGTTCCCTTTGTAGATGTGAGACTACTTATTTATATAAAAAAGGTACTGATGACTGTCTGTTGTTCGTATTTGATCTCTAATAGAAAATAGCATTATTGGTATCTTGACGTTTTTCTCCTTTCTCTTTCTCCTTCCTTCCCTCTGGATTTAGCTTGCAAGACAGCTTTGAGTACATCAACCAAGATCCTCATTTGGGAAAACCAAACACAAACCAGAATAGTTTGGGCACGTGTCGCACTGGAAGTAACCTAGGTAAAATCAGATACACGCACAGGTTTTCTCTCTTAGTGCTACTATTGTGAATGTGTGTTGCTTTTTTTTTAAGGTCATGGTGTGGTGGTGTTTGGTTTGGTTCGACATTCCCTTTAATCTGTCTATTTTTGTGTGTGTGCCATGTCTGGTCTCTGTGTGTCTGTCTAGGTCTGCTGCAGGCCTGCAGCAGCAAGCTGCTCCTGGGGGCGGCTGAAGGAGGACCTCTCCGGCTCACCCGGAGTGCTTCTTTCTTTGCAGGTTTGTGTGGAATGCTGAGTACAGGGTGACTCCCACACATGAATAACTCCTCAGCGGGTTCTTAGGAAAAACCTATTTGTGCCTCTCTAGAAACCCAAAGGGCTCTTGTGATAAGAAATATAGTTTTAAAATGCAGCTAGATTCTTGGAGTTTTGAAAATTCCACCCATACACCTTTATTGTAAATGCCTCTGCTAATACCCCAGTATAAGCTGATTTGATCTGAAACGAGCCCTTCATGTTTCTAAGGGGATTATGATTTCTGATTTTCCTGGCGTCTCCTGCTGCTCTGAATTGTTTGCCTTTGCCATGGTGTGTGTTACCCATTTATTCACTTGCACCCTTATCTGCATGGATCTCTGCATCACTCTAGTAAGAGCATGGATGAGCTTTCTAACTCCACCCCCTCTCTGACACACACACACACACACACTCACACTCACACTCATTTAATCACTTGAAATGCAGTTTTTGGGTTCTTTACCGGTGTAGTCACCTTGGTGACTGGGTATGTATTCTGAGATTTAACTGGCCTCACCAGCTCAGGCTGCTCAGTGCTGGTAATAGTCTTGGCATGATTAACAAGCATAGGACTCTTCGTTACTAACATTTAAGACTACTAGTATGGCAAGTGGTGTTTTCCATGCAGGTCTCCTTTGTAGCCTGAAATAATGCCAGGCACCGGAGTTAACTGATTCCCTAATAGAACTGACACCCTCCCACCTGCTTAGACTGAGGATAGCATGTTTGTATACTTTCTTTAAAATTGTGAAGATAAGTATGTTTCAGAACAGAGCGAGAGTGTAATAGCCAGGGCCAGAGCATGGGGCTGCTTGTGCATTGTAAATCTTTCTAGAGCAGCCTCTCATCTGCCTTCCACCTCAGGTCAGTCTGGAACATTCCTAGAAGCGTGAAGTACTTGCTGGTTTTCCAGAAGTCATGCCAGCACAGGAGTTTTCTAAGTAGTTCCACAATAGTGCTGCAGTGGAAAAGTGGAAGAAGAAAAATTGGAACATGAACATGTATTTTTTTGTTGACCAAGATAGTTGGTCATAAATGGAGAAACACTTTTTGAATTTATGAAATGGTTTTCAAGTATTTCTGTTCCCTAAGGTGATTTCTGAAACTAGCATTTTAAAAAACAGTACTATTTAGATACATCGAATAAAAGTATCTATCTGAGAATGTTTGTTCGCTGTTTTAACTGAATGGTTTATTGAGTAGGTTATTTTAGGAACTGAACATCATTCAAAAAATGTTACATGCCCTAGTAGGATAAAGGAGATTATCCCTTGGTTTTTGGGGGACATGGTCTTGATGTGCAGTTCAGGCTGACCTTGAACTTACTTTGTAACCCAGGCTGGCCTCGAAAGTGATCCTCCTGCCTCAGCCTCCTGAGTGGTGGGATTACAGCATGCACCACCAAGCCTATCCTCTTTTCTTTTTTTTCTTTTGCATATTTAATTTTGCTTTCTTGTTCATCTGTACTATAAGGCAACCAATCATCAATCACAATAGCCTACTTCATAAAAATCACTATTTGTTTTTAATTTTTCCTGTCTTTAGAGAGCCTAATAACTTGTTTTCCTCCTACCTTTATCTAGCACACAGCACCCCGGTTGACATGCCAAGCCGAGGACAAAATGAAGACAGGGATAGTGGAATTGCTCGATCAGGTATTTTACCAGTTTAGCTAAATACAGTGAGCTATAAAAGCATGTAATGTATTATTTATGGTTAAAATATGTTCGTTTTGGCTTTTTCTAATCTTTTCTTTGAAGTTTGGCAAAGATGTTTTGGTCAGAAATGGTAGCTCCCCGTGATAAGATGTGTATTTTTTTTGGTACTGGGAATTGAACTCAGGACCTTGCGCTGCTGAGCTGCGTCCTCGGCCGTACGTGTATTCTTTTCACAGTCCCTTGGTGCAAGCAGGAAGGTAAGCGTGAGTGTGTGGAAGCGTGCTAAATGAGCTTGTACTTAGCACCCGCGTGCGGGCTGGCCTTCTCGTTACCTGTGAGTCCCGGCCAGCTGACCTATTGAGTGCCGCCCGCCGGCATGTGGCTGGAAGAACGTCATGTCCGAGGACTCAGCCCCCGCCGCCCCGGGAGGGCCCTGGGGCAGGTGGCTCTCAGGGTGGGGCGCGTGTCTCAGAACTGCCCAGGTCTCGTGGGGGCAGCCGGAGCCGGAGCCAGTGCAGCTCTTCGTCACATTGCTGCTGCGGGGGCTGACCAGGTGCCGTGTGTGTGAGCTCTAGCTGTGTGCGCGCGATGCTCTGTGCAGCCCAGCCCAGTGCTCAGGCCGCAGTTTGTGTCCTGCCGTAGCATTGTTTAATTTATGTTGTTCTAGAAAAAATTTAGGCAATTTGAGGGAGCGGATACCAACAGAAACAGTTATGAAGTGAAGTGCCTTCACTTCATGCTGTAATTGGTATAAGTAGTTCATACTGGGCAGGGCTGAACCTCTCTGATACTTGCATTCTGACTCTTTAAACTGCTTTTCCTCACCCTTTAAGAAGCAGGATAGCTGAAGGGCGAGTGGGGTTAGAGTGGGAAATGTGTGGTGCTGGCTCTGGCCTTGGGACTGACTGGGTGGGGGCGGCGTGCACAAGGAGTGGAGACCCTGGGGCCGCTGCCTGGCTTGGGTGTCTTCAGTCTTTGCTCTCCTCCGGGTCTGGCTGAGCTGAGGGCCGCAGTGCCGAGCGGCCCCGGGGCGTCTTGCCCCTTGCTGTGCCTCCACACCATCTACCTGCCTGGGAGCTGCTCTGATATCCCTGGCTCGGAGACCCACCTGTGCTCCAGGGCCCTGGCAGGGTAGCGGAAGAGCTCCGCGTGTGCCTCTGGTGGTTCCCTCCCTAAGCTTTTGCTCCTTAGCATGCGCTTTACAGCTTGGCGAGACCAAGGCCCAGGTCCAGAACAGTAGGAACTGTGCGGTAGAAGTAAGTGGCAGTAGAGGTAGGTGTAGAGGAGTTAAGATTATTTTACCTTATTCATGGTTTGCTTTTGCCTTGTTCTGGGTCAGGGTCTCACTGTATGGCACATTCTGATCTCGGATTCACTATGTAGCCCAGGCAGGCTTTGAAATTATAATTCTCCTGCCTCAGCTTCCCAAATGCTGGGATTACAGGCATGCACTACTGCACCTGGCCATCTTGGTGATTTTAAACTTCTATTTAAAGTTGGGGGACAGGGAAACTTAAAAATAGATTCTATGCATCAGAACAGTTTTAGATTTACAGAAAAATTAGGAAGATTATAGAGTTCCCCTTCAACCTTCCAGTCTGCCATGTTATCCTGACGTTAGATGCCTGCTGTGACGAGAGCAGACCGCTGCTGAAGCTGATGTGTTGCTGTTGGCTTTGGCTCACGGTTCTGTCACTCCCTTAATTTCACTTTTCCACCCAAGACCCCAGCACTCCTAGTTTCCTCATCCCTTTTGGTTCCTGATGGCTCTGAAGAGTACTGGGTAGGTGTTTGTGTGACATTCCACTATGAGGGTACACTCAGTGCCTCGCTCATCAGATGGGGTCTGTAGGTTGGGATGGCGATCATGAAGTGGTGGCATTTTCCTCTCATGGTGGCATGTGCCCAAGGAGATGGCCACATTTGCTGGCTGAGGAGGTGGCAGTTAGTTTTGCCCACTGTTCCATGGTGTGTTCCTTCCAGTCTGTGCCCACACTTGCGGGAGGGAGGCTCTGTGGTCAGGGGTTGCCCTGTGGAGCGTGGAGGACCCTTGTGGTTCTTTGGGATTGATCTGCAGAGATGTGTCTGTTTTCTTTGCTTATTTCCTTAGTCATTACACCAGTGTGGACCAGGGATATTCATTTTCACTTTTAGCCCCAAGCTGTGCCCCTTTGTCCCTTGGACTCCCTGCTCTGCCACTGCACCTTCCCCATAGTGGGTGCCCCTCTGTGTGGTGCTGCCCACTGTTCCAGAGCCATCTGGACCTTGGTTGCCGAGTCGTGGGCTTGGCAGCCCTCCACCCACACGTGCAGGTCCAGACTGAGTTGGAACAGCAGGGACACACATCCTCATGGTATTTTTTTTTTCCTGGGAATTTTAATTGTGTTTCCTGTATCTATGTAAATTGAAAGGATGGGCAGCTGCTTCAGGTGGGGAGGCTGCAAGGCTTTGGGGAGAGGAGGGTGGGTCTGGGTGTGGAGCAGCAGGTATGTGAAGTGACAGCCAGAGCTGCTGTGTAAGGACTTGAGTCGGGTGTTGGCCTGAGCCAGCTGGGAAAGCAAGAGGCCAGCAGAGGGGACATGTAGTGAGATTCTTTTTCTAGCTAAATTTCCCACAAATTCTCCAGTTCTGAGTAGTCTTCTGTGTTTAGAAATAGGAAGCTGGCTCAGAAGAGATGGGTGAAAGCAGAGCTGCAATTGGGAAAACTTGGATACTGGGTGACCTCAGGTTCAGAACATGGTACTGTGGCACGAGCCTCGCCACCTAGCACAGCTTGGCGCCGAGCGCTCCTCTTTCAAGTGTTGAAGCCCTGGCAAGAGAAATCATTGTCCTCCTTCCTTGTGTCAGTGTTTCCTCTGTCCATCAGGTGATAGTATGAGAACTACTACTGTGTACTTTTGAACGGTTTTATTGATGTGTTTTAAAGTGATTTGGGATTTCAGGGTGTGAACACACATCATCACTGTTAGGTGACACACAGGTGTCAGCCACTGCAAATGGGGCCTCCCACCACTAGCTGGCAGGGTCAGGGGTGCCACACAGACACATGTGCCACACACGTTGAACATACTTGTTTCGTCATGAGGTTTTTGGGAGAATGGGTATTCTCTGACCACCAATTCAGGTATTTGCCTCTGTCATGCCTGTTCCTTAAAGTACATCATAGTGATTTTATTTTTATGAGAGCTACGGTCTGTACTCCTGTATTCCATGAATAGAAGATCATGTAAACGAAACAAGTAATTACAGTAAAATGTACATATAGAACTGGAAGTTGTTCTTTCACAAACAAAAGATGAGTTTTGTGTTTGGAAATGGAAGTCAGAACACAGGATGTGATGTGGAGGAAATTTTGCCTCAAAATATAGAGTAAAGTCAAAAGACAAAAATACAGAAGTAAGCTTCATGATGCGCATTAAGGATCAAGTTAAAGCAGAAGTATGCTGTGTGGACCACGTTATCAGAATCTGTAATCTATACTCCGATTATCAACTTAGTATTTGTAAGGTGGGATCTGATAATTTTTCACTTGCCATATTTGTGATCCTTATTTAATATTGTCATTTATAAAGGGCGGGGTTTTTTTGGCTGTATGGAAATCTTTGTAAGACAGAGATTCTAGTCTCCCCCTGCTGGATATGACTGTTAGGACCTAAAAATCTAGGTTACTTGGCATAATGTGTATTTCAGTTTTTCATTGTGTTAAAATACACACACTTCCTGTGTTCCCATTTTTAATGTGCAGTTCAGTAGTGCGTCGTAATGTGCATTGGGTTCATCTCCCTCTTGTCTTGCGTTTCTGCCCTCACAGCCTCGCTGAGCAGCCTTCTGATCACGCCCTTCCCATCCCCCAGCACCTCTGTGTCATCCTCCAGCAGCTACCAGCGCCGCTGGCTCCGGAGCCAGACCACAAGCTTGGAGCACGGCGTCTTTCCGCGGAGGTGAGTCGCGAGTCTACCCTGGCTGCTCCACTTAGCCTCCAAGTTTACGGGTTCAAGCTTTGAAGGAGAGAACAGATTAAAGCTTAGGAAAAATTCTGATGTAGAAGACACTGGGAAATTCTGGGTAGTTGTGCCATGTTTAAACTGGCTTTGGGCGTTAAATTAAGTGATGTTCTCTCTTAAACTGGATACCTTCCAAGTGTATCCTTAGAAGCAGTGGGATTAGTTTCCCTTGGTAACCCATTGAGGTGTTGAAAACGTGACCTGTTCTCTGTCGTATTTGAGCATGTTCTCTCTAAAATGCAAATTCTTAAAGAGGTGGCTATGACTGTAAAGGGGAAGGCACCAAGTATTCTCTGCTTTCATTTCAGTTGACTTTGAATCTAAAGTGTAGTTTGGTCCGAGGTGCACATGTGATGTTACACCTGCAGATTACAAGCTCTTCTTATGCCCCAAAACTTGAGGGAAATTTTTAAGTGTAGCCATCGCAGTCTCTCCGATGTGGTCAGTTGACTCTGAATCACCATACAGGGCCCTGTGCGCAGGTAGAGGCCGCTCAGCCACACACCTGCTCTCTGCGGATGGGAAGGGAGGAAGATGCTGCGAGGTGGATGCAGCAGGAGGCTTGAGGTGCTCTGTGGCCCAGAGCAGGGGGCTCGGTGGTGGCCAGTGGGGACCTATGGAAGGAATGGCAGAGGGAGCACCGGAGGGGGCACAAGTGGGCGGCAGTGTCATGTTTCTAGCAGTCCTTGGGAGCAGGTTGCAGCTGCTGAGAAGTTGAAGACCCTGGTGGCTGGACTCTGCATGGAGTAATTAAGAGCTGGGGCGAGGCCGGCCCTGGTCTGCCGCACCAGACGTGCGCTAGAACAAAGCGGCCTGGATTCCAGGTGGCGCCTCCTTGGCTGCACTAGAGCAGCTTTCCTTCATCTCAGCCTCAGAGTTGGGAGGATTGAAGGAGGCACAGCAAATCAGGAGGCTGGGCCGGAACTGGGCTGGTAGAATACCAGTCAGTCTGACTCGCTCACGGCTGCCACTGCTGCCACTGTCACTGCTGTCAACAGTCAGCGTCCCACGTGTTATGAGAGCTTTGATACTGGAAAAGGTGGATCTGAACCACTTTTTCAAGGTTTGCGTCTGGATGTCCTCCCACAGCCTCAGGGCCTTCGGGTTTCCTCAGAGGTGGCTGAATCTCGAGTGTGTGATTGATTCCTAGTGTGATGCTGGGATTAAGGGTGATTGCTGGATCAGTTGCCCGATTGGATTGGCACCACCCTAATCCGGGTAGACTGGATACAGTATAAGGACAGAAGGGGACATGTCTCTCCCTCTGTCTTGCTGCGTTTGCTGTCCTCCATCCCATGACCTGTTTCCCCCTCAGCCAACCCACCCCGCCTTGGAGCCAGCTGATTATGGACTGAGACCTCTATACACTGAGCTAACCCTTTCCCCCTGTATCTGTTGGTGTCAGGTATTTTACCTCATCAACAAGAAAAGTAACTGAAAATCAGCTTCTCACCGAGATGCATTTTTATCCCTTCAGATTTACATCTCAGGCTGAATCCCGTATATTAACAGCCCACTCCTCTGAAGTTCTTGGAACTCACTGAGGCCTGGCGCTGGGAACTGTGGCACCCCTGGTGATCACATGCCTGCAGGTGCCCTGTGTCCAGGTGCTCCAGGTGTCCTGCGTCCAGGTGCCCTGTGTCCAGGTGCCTGCATCCAGGTGTCCAGCCTGGGGTGCAGTCAGGCTGAGTCAGCGCAGGGTAAGAATGCCAGGCCTCTCGATAAAAGAGCAAGAAAAATGTACTGGCGGTAATAAAATGCTAGCTTTCTCTTAAACTTATAAGCTATCATAGAGATAATAGGACATATAATAACAGTATAAACTGGCAAATTAGAAGATATTTTTGGTGTCGTAGTAATATTTAATACAATGACTTATGCCTAATATGATAGCTGTATCATAAGATTTTTCAGGCTTTTGTATAGATTCACTTTTTTTTTTTTTTTTTTTTTTTGGTGCCAGGGAATTAACTCAGGACCTTGCGCTTGCCAAGCAAGTGCTTATTTTACTGAGCTATCTCCCCGGCACTAGATTCACTTATTAGGCCATTTTGTACTTCTAGAAGCTTGGCTCTGTCAGTATTGAAAATGATATTAGTATAGCTGGCAAATGCAAAATAATCATTTTTTTAATTTTTTTTTCTTTTCAAAGTTTTATTGATAAACATATAGCAATGAGACAGTTTCAAATCAAATCGAAAGTACAGTTTCAACAAATAATACACTGCATATATTCTTCTTAGTGGTTAATTGCTGTACAAGATGCAGACTTGTGATCCTACTTACAAACACCATTAGAAAAAATCATTCTATTCATTAAGAGAATACAACTATATATCTATCACAAAAATAATCATTTTTGTGACTTTTTTACTTAGAGAAGAGTCTGCTGATACAGTATTGCTGGAGCTTTGTGGGCTGTGACGACATTGTGATAAATGTCTGATAAGTTTCAAAATGCAAATTTTAATACTTTCAGATCAAATGATTCCTATAGAAGTTTTTCTAAGAAGATTTAATTCCTCACCACTTTGTTTTGTGTAAGTCTGAATTGTAGCTATGAATGGGCTGGAAAGGGAGCTGTTGGTGCAGACTCCTAGGAGAGGGCTGCGGGGGGTGGGGGGTGGCAGGTTGGCCGCCTGCCCAGCCCCATCCAGAGTCCCTGCCCTCTGGGCTCCCCCTCTTCTGCTCTTGCTGCTGTCCGTCCTGCCGCCTCCAGGTGCTCTGGTGTCCCGCCCCCTGCAGATGTTGGGACTGTGTCTGGTGTAGGCTGTGTGACCTTGGGTCAGACTGCTGCTTCCCGCTCCTTGCTCACATGCATGCTTTGCAGTTGCTTAAAGCTGCATATGCAGCGTGCTGTTCAGAGGTAGTATGAATTCCTGGTGGCAGTCGTAGAGCACTGTTCAAAGCCTGCGTCCTTCTGAGAGCAAGGTCGCTTGCTGCGGTCCTGCTCAGGGCTGAGAATCAGGTGTGCAGAAGCTCTGAGCTGATGACTGCACTCATAAAGATTTGTGCCTGCATTAGAGAGGGCTGTGCTTGGCTCCTCCCTTTTGGGAAGTAGGTGAGAAAATTGGTTCTGCTTGAGACGTAAGACAGGCCGGCAAGAAATACTGATCCTGGCTTTGGGAGAAAACTCAGAGGAACTAAAAGCGCCCCCAGGGAGATGCAGGGAAAGGACCCCACGGTCGTTGACCTCCGGCTGCACACTGGCCTCCTGCACTGGGCGGGGCAGCAGGCTTTGCTTCCCGGGTCCGGGGTGCCCTGCTTGGCCAGGCTGCCGACACCCCAGAGGAGCCAGGCGTCCCGGGAAGCCTCCAGTTTGATATTTTCTAGTGGGGTGGTCTTGAGCTGAGGCCTGACTGGAGCTATTAAATTGAACAATCTATATATATAATGTTGCTGCTGAGATGTTCTTTGGCGGTTTTGTTCTTCGACAGAACTGTCATTTTCATGTGTTCCTGTAATGCATAGGTCCAGCATAAGTTCGAAGCAGATAAAATACTTAGACTAAATGGTCTTCTAATCAGTTATACATTGATATGTAATGAAAAAGCAGCTTTTGCTCTATGATAGTTAAGTACGTATAATATGCATAAATGCATATCTGTGTAAAAAAATTCTGTTTGATATATTTGGTTTCTTTGTGTTTTATGTTCTTTTTGATTTTCTGAGACAGGGTCTTGCTTTGTAGTCCAGGTTGACTTTGAACTCACTATGTAGTCCAGGCTGACCTGGAACTCAGCAGTCCTCCTGCCTCAACCTCCCCAGTACTGGTGACTCAGGGTAAAGGTACAGTGGAGTATTTGGGAGTATTTTCCACTTTTTTGAAACATTTCAAACACTGTTATTGGGGAATAATATTGAAAGATTGTATATGACCTAACTTATTCCCACTCAGGAGCTTCAGAATGAGCAGAGGGTATTGGAAAGAGATGCGAGCATCCACTGCATTACAGCTACACAGGCTTAGAGAGTTGCAGCAGGTGGCACTGTCCGCTGAGTTAGAACTGACAGCAGAGCCGCTACAGGGTGGAAGTGAGGAGTTCAGTGTCCATCGCTGGTCTTTTTGATGTTACAGACTGGGGTGGCCTAAGGAGAATGGACTCAGGAGGTCATTTTACTTTTCTTTTTTTAAATTGAGAAATAAATATGAATGAGACAGTTTGATTAATAGGACAGTTTTGATAATCAATACGTTGTACATTGTTATCTTCTTAGTGGTTATCCATAGCACAAGAAGCAGACAGGATATCCTGTCCAAACACTGTTAGTTCACCTCTTTCTTCTCATTGAATTAAGCAAAAGTAGCTGTAAATATATCCTAACTATATATAAATACAAAATGATCTTTCCTTTGTATCTTTTTTTTAATCATCTGTCAGAGGTGAATATTCTATTGGCATCTAAATACTATAGGTGTTTGAATTCAACTAAACAATCTAACAGTGTTTAGCAGTCTATAATATTAGTGGGTTATCCTCAGAAGTTATTGACTTGAGCCTTTTACAGCTCATCGTATTAATATGGCTTTACTTTATATACCTCGTTTTTATACTTTTCTGCTGGATGGTTAAGACCAAGATATAGCAAGACCTATATAACAAGAAATGTAACTTTTGTATCTGATAAGATCAGCCAAGTACTCTCAGGATTTATCCTGTAGGCCTGTACTGCCCTTTGTACATCCTTTTGTCAGTTTCAGACATGAGGATGAATCACGGCCATTGTTTGACCACTTTGCTGTCTGTGAAAACCTAAGAAAATGTTTTTTCTCTCCATGTGACTCTCCCCAGGCTCACTTTACATCATCGAACACATTCCTCTGTGGCTCCGTAATCTTCTTGATCAGAAAATTTGGAGCACAACTGAGTTACATGTTGTTACAGTACAGGTTCTCCTATGTCCTGAGTCTTCACTGACCTTGAAAGGCGAGGGCCAGAATGTTGGCTAACCATGCAGCCCTTCCTTTTCTCCCAGTTTTGAACTGCTAACTTAGGTTGTTAACCCTCCAGAAGAGAAGCTTATTATTAACCTGCAATATATGCAGTTCGGTTTACCCTATCTGCCTAAATATCAAACATTTTGGCATATCATAGAACAGGTATTTTCCATCAAATATTGATGTTGAACTTTAATTCCTTACTCATTTTACTTTTGAAAAAGGAGAAATGGTAGGTAACAAGGAAGAAAGGATTATTTACAAGGATGTCTTTTGATATAAGCTCAGAAGAAATTTTTCTTTTTTAAGACAATAGAAATAAACCTGTGCAAGAAAATGAAGTTTTAATATAGGTACTCTGAAAAAGAGAATGGGACATTGTGTGAACTGTGTGGCTTCTTAGAGGCCCTTGGGAGTGTGACCTGTGACTGCACCTGGGCTTTGTCAGAGGCAGCACTTGGAGGAATGTACCTGCAGGTGCACGGTGGGGCTGCCTCACAGGCGCCTGGGTGGGTTCACATTGCTGAGAGCTGGGCTAGGGCAAGGGAAACAGCAGCACACATCTCAAAGGCTGGAACTGGCACCTTTCTTTAAAACTAACTTTCTTGGGGCTGGTGAGATGGCTCAGTGGTCTAAAGCACTTAGAACAAGCTTAGCAAAGCACAGGGACCGCGGTTCAATCCCCCAGCACCACATGCCAGCCAGCCCCGCCCCCTGTTGGGCTGAGCTGGCCACACACACATACACACACACACACACACACAAATAAATAAATAAATAAATGCAGGACTTGGTTTAAAAAAAAAAGACTTTCTTAGGTGTAAAACGTTTGATGTATATGTTTACTAGCATCGACGCCCATTGGAAATCACAGGGACAGTCTAGTCTGTGAATGGAGTATTAAGTAAGAAGACCAAGGGGAGGAGGCAGCCCCCTCAAGTTCCACCCTGCAGAAGTGATTGTTGTGGCAGAAGAAACCAAGGCCAGATGTGGTGGTACACACCTGTAATACCCACGACTCAGGCTGAGGCAGGAGGACTATAAATTCAAGTTGTCTGGGCAACTTAGTGAGACTACATCTTAAAATAAAAATATCCCAGGGCTAGGAGCACACCTCAATACTTCTGGAGTCTAATCCCAGGACTATCAAAGCAAGGCAATGCAAAACATCTGGAGGAAGTGTGTGTGTGCCTGCGTTTGGTGGAGACATGAGGTGAAGTAGGAGGGCCAGTGAGGAAGAGAAAAGGCGTGGCCTACCTTCTGTGTGCCTGGGGGCCCTTGCATTGGCGGGAGGTTCATTGTTTGCTTTTCTGTTTCTGTAGAACGCAGGAAGTTGACCCTTTTATTTTCACCCTTTCTGTGTAACCCTGTGGCAGTGATAGTGGCTTTTCACAATGATAAGAGGTAAGGTGAGGCCGTCACCGAGAGGGTTGCCTGGAAGACAGATTGCAGCTTGCGTGTGTGCTCACAACTTATGGACATGGTGACTCGCTTATCATGTAAGCAGAGTCCCTCAAAAGGATCTTCCATTTTCTCAGTGTTTGACTGTGACAAAAACAGGGTGAGGCTTTGTGCTTGTGGGCTTTCTGGTGACCTCTGCTGATGACATGACTTAATTAGAGGGCTAATGCTCAAAAAGCCTGGGAAAGTGAGTTGCCAGTGAGACCCCAGCCTGCCCATGTTCAGCAGAGTGCTGTGTGGGAAGTTCCTTGTCCGACTTTCCTACCTGCTGGTGTCTTTCGGACACAGGGCAGGTCTGTGTTGTAAGTGCACATGCTTTGCACTCCTAAATCTCACCAATGGGACATGAGAAGAGGGCGAGGAAGAAAGGGTGGTGAGGAAGAAAGGGCGTGAGGAGAACCTAACCTGAGGACATTGGAAATAATTTTGGTTTTCATGTTAGGATACTAATGTGGAAGGTGGATATTCTAATTTTTCGTGACAGAATCAGAAGAGAATGAGTAAAAGATAGCTGAACTTGAGCACTGGCTGCTGCTGTGGCCAATTACCTTGAGTGTAACTCATTGCCTTTGAGCAACTTCTCACCTTGTTTCCCTTCCAGGTCAGTGGATGAGACATTTAGCTTGGCTGAAGAGGCCTGCAGTTCTAATCCAGCCATAGTTAGGAGGAAGAAAATTGCCATAAGCATCATCTTTTCCCTCTGTGAGAAAGAAGAAGCGCAACGGAATTTCCAGGACTTCTTTTTTTCTCATTTTCCTCTGTTTGAATCTCACATGAACAGGCTGAAGAGTGCAGTTGAAAAGGTAATGTGGAGGGCAGGTGAGATAGCTCAGTGGACTTAAGCGCCTGCTTAGGCAGGTGCGGGGCCGGATCCCTGGTACCACATGCTAGTGCGCTGAGCAGGCCACCCAGGCTGGGTGTGATGGTGCATGCCTGTAATCTCAGCGGTGGGGTGGCCCAAGTAAGAGGACCACTCTGAGTCCAAGCTGTGTAGTGAGACCCTGTATGAAATACTTAAGAAAAGGTAATGCAATTGTCCTCCAGCACTGATGGAGATGTATCATGGGGTGGGACCCTTGAGTAGGTGTCAGGCCACTTTCCTGAGAAAGTCACTGTCCCTGGCAGTGCCACTGATGGCCCTTTGCTTTGGGAAAAGAAATTACCATTTTCTGATGACTGTTTTCAGTTCATGACAACATTTTTATTGATGAGGGCCAGTAGGCAAGCTAGAAAGGAGTTGCTCTTCAGAAAGGTCCTCAGCATGCTTTCTTTTCCACGAAGGCCATGATCTCCTGTCGGAAGATAGCAGAATCAAGTCTGCGTGTCCAGTTCTATGTCAGCCGCCTGATGGAAGCCCTGGGAGAGTTCAGGTAATGCTCAGACTTGAGCAAACCCAGTGGGGCTTTCTGAGCAGCAGCAGCGGCAGCGGCAGCAGCAACAGCAACAGCGGCAGCAGCATCTAAGGGAAGATAGGAGGGGCTGGGGCTGGCAGGGCAGCCCACCCTTCAGGCTAAACATGCACCAAATGAAGTGAAGGATTAAGAAACCCAGTGTGAAGTGGCCCTCACTACTGCCCACAGTCGGTCCTTGGTACAGACACAGTTTGTACTGCGGTGTGTCCATAAGTCTATTCAGCCACGTCATCCTTTGAAAACCTGAAGGGTGAGCCTGACTACCCCATTTCACAGAGGTGGGCATTTGGGTTCAGGGGTGCTGGGTCAGTGCCCAAGAAGAGTCTGCACAGCAGGAGACCCATGTCTTGGCTCACTGGACATTCCTGCTTTTTACATTCAGTGTTTCTGGGCCAGTGAGATAGCTCAGTGGAGTAAGTGCCTGCTTACACAAGTTCAATCCCTGGCACCACTTGCCATGCTGGCCCCGCCCCTGGGCGCACTGAGCAGGCCAATGAGACTGGGTATAGTGGTGCACACCCATAATCCCAGCCTCCCCTCTGGGGAGGTGGAAAACAGGAGGATCACTATGAGTCCGAGCTGCGTGGTGAAACCCTGTACCAAATACATTAAAAAACAAAATACGTTCAGTATTTCCTCAACTCTGGCAGTGGTTGTTGTACTGGGAAGTGCTTCAGAGGCCCTGTGTGGGGTCTGGGGAGTGGGATCCTCATCGTGCTGGGCCAGGCCTTCTGCAGGGAGCAGAGTCTCACTCTGTGCAGTTGTGTGCTATCAGTGGAGCTGTCACTAAGCAGCCCAGGATGAAGGAGCCCTGCATCATTCATGTGCTGAAGGAGTGAGATCATTCGTGTGCTGCTGGCGAGCTGAGCAGCACCACGCAGATGGAATCCCACCCTTTTCTGGGCCATATTTAAGGTATTCAGGCCATGCACCAGGCGTTATCTAAAGACCAGGATGTAAGTCACACACAGGAGGAATGTGAGCAGCTGCGCCTGGCGATGCCCCTGCCTTCTGGAGCTGCGCTGTGCTTGCCTGGTGCTCCACTGTGCGTAGACCCAGAGCTGGCCCGTGCCTGTGGGCCTGGCTCAGGGCTTCATGGCAGTGCAGTATTTCAGAGATCGAGAAACTGAAAATAGGGAGCCAGGAATCTTCTCTCTGCATGTACATAGGACAAACAGTACCTCCAGAAATGGTACAGAACAGTGTCAGTGTTGTGACACCTCCATGTTAGGCAGTGGACCACAATGCTGTGTGACTGTAGCTTGCCATGGCTACCTAATGGCGAGGTATGTGTGTGAGATAGATACATAGATAGATAGATAGATAGATAGATAGATAGATATTTTTTTTTTCCAAAGCTAGAATTTTCTTGTACCCTGATTCTTTGTAGCTCAGTTAGAAAATTCCCGGTTACCCTGATTTGTGAAAAGTGAATGTATTATAAATTCAGAGATGCATTGGCTTTTATCCAGAGGGGATCCTCAGTAAGTTAGTGTACACTTTGTAGAAACACCCAAGTCCCATAACTTGGAATAGAGAGGCCTGTGACAGGCCTCAAACAGTGAATTCCCATTCTGGCCTTACCATTGTCATATGCAAGTAACCGAATCTCTCCAGGCCTCTGTAGAAGTAGTTACCTCACAGTCTGGTGCAGTGGTAGTGATGCGTGCTGCGTGGGCTATTTGTATCATTGAAAGCTCTAAAAGGTTGATATCATTGGTCTTGGGTACAGTAAAGAAGAGCCGTTTGAGGGCCGGCCAGATTGCTCAGCAGATTAAAGTGCCTGCTTAGGCAGACACAAGGGACTGGGTTTGATCCCCGGCATGCCATGCAAGCCCTGCCCCTGGGGCACGCTGAGATTACGATTGAGACTGGGCATGGTGGTGCATGCCTGTAATTCCAAAGCTTGGGAGGCTGAAAACAGGAGGATCACTATGAGTCCGATCTAGTAGTGAGACCCTGTAGACCCTGTACTAAATACGTTTTTTTAAAAAAAGCCATTTGTAAAGGTTTTCCCTCTAAAATGATTAGGGTGGTTGGCTTAGAGAACCAAAGCAGTAATCATAAATTGGGAGAGGTGGGTTGCCTCTGGGCATGTTTTCCATATAGCATATATTTACTTTCTGTGTTCTTACCATAAAAAATGGTGTGGTACTGCACAAATACATACAGTTTTTATGAGTGGGTTAAAACAGTAAATTAAGCCAGGTATGTTGGTACACACCTGGAATCTCCACACTCTGGGGTTTGTGGTAGGGGGATCATAAGTTGGAGCCCAGTCTGGGCAGTTTAGCAACTCAGCAACATCTTGTTTCAAAAATTTAAAAACAGGCTAGGGGTACAGCTTAGCGTAAAGACCTTGGGTTCAGTACTGCAAAAATTTAATAATATAAATTAACTAAAATGTTTTTAAGTGATTGTAGATTGTCACACACAGCATTGTGAAATACATTGCTCTTTAAATGAATACTTTGGGGCCCGCCAGATAGCTCAGCAGATTCAAGCGCCTGCTTAGGTAGACACAGGGACCAGGGTTCTATCCCTGGCATGCCATGCCAGCCCCACCCCCGGGACGCGCTGAGATGGCAATTGAGACTGGGCATGGTGACGTGCACGTATAATCCCAGCACTTGGGAGGCTGAAACAGGAGGATCACTAAGAGTTTGATCTATGTAGCAAGATCTTGTAGACCCTGTCGACCCTGTACTAGACACATAAAAATAAATAAATACCTTATACCTGGGTTGGTACACCTTTTCTCCCCTTCTCTTTCAGAGGGACCATCTGGAATTTGTATTCAGTGCCAAGGATCGTTGAACCAGTGTGGCTCTCCATGACGTCAGGCACCCTGGAAAAAACCCAGCTCTGCCAGCGCTTCCTCAAGGAGCTCACGCTGCTCATAGAGCACACCAACAAAAACCAGTGAGCCTCCACTGCGGGGCTCACAGTCCTGCCCGCACTTGCCCTGTGGGCCATGTCTGTGCTCTGGGGGCTGACGCAGCTGTTCTCTCCTGTTCCTCCGAGGTTTTTCGCGGCCCTACTGACTGCAGTGCTGACCTACCACCTGGCCTGGGTGCCGACCGTTGTGCCTGTGGACCACCCGCCCGTCAGAGCCTCCTCTGAGAAGCGTGCCTCCCAGTCAGTGAGCGCACTGGCCAAGACGCACCCATACAACCCTCTCTGGGCCCAGCTGGGTCAGTGCCTTGGCGACTGCGGAGAGAGATGAAGGGGCAGAGGAGCTGGATGGGGGTGTGGGGCTTGCCCGGTAACTCAGGGTGTCAGATGCCAGCAGCGCCCATCCAGGGTTACCAGAGAGGTCTGGTAACCACAGGCCGTCAGGTGTCTGAGAAAGGGAGACAGCAGCACAGCAGATGTTGACTGAGAATCCCTACCTGGAGAAGGGCTTGCATGGGAGGAGGAAGCAAGGCAAAGCAGAAGTTAGCAGTCCGAGTCTCAGCACCTGGCTGATTGTAGCCGTGTGCTGTGCCCTCGCAGTTAGTGGTGACGCGTGTTTCCTGGCCTTGGGTGTGCCTCCTAATGGTGCAGGTGCTTCAAGGTGATGTTGGCTATAGTGCCTGGGCTTGCCATGAGCTTCCTGTGGCGGAGTGTGTACTTCCCATGCACGCTAGTGACAAAGTAAAATGCAAGTATGTGCCTGCCCCAGATCTGTGCCGGGGACCTGGGTGGCACAGGTGCTCAGCCTTGGAAAACTCAGTCTCTCAGATGCACGGGGGATCTGCACCTGTGGCTGATGTTGGTGTGGTGGGTACAGGGAAGAGGGAAGTCGTAGGGAGCGCGTCAGCCTAGGCTTGTTGTGCTTTGGGCCCTGCAAGCAGCCTCAGCTCCCTGTGACCCCGGGTCTGAACCTGGGCCTTGTGCTTGGTACCGGCTCTCGCATGTCTTTCTGCCTGTCAGCGGTGACAGTGACAGCGCTTTCTGTAAAACAGTGTGGACTCCTGTGTGAAGCAGAGGGCTGGGCATGGAGTGTGGAACTTGCGTGCTTGATACTATGTGCACGGCCTTTTCTTTTCACTGGATACACAAGTCAGCAAGCGTAAGCTGCTGGAGCACGCCACTGCTGCTGCAGTACCAGTCCAGTTTCCAGAGGGGTGGAATGACTGGGTGTGTGACACATGCCTGCAACCCCAGCACTTAGGAGGCTGAGGGGGGCAGGAGGATCCCCCCAAAGCCCCTCAAGTAATAGAATGATTCCATTTTGATTCCTGTTTCAGAGACCCACCTGGGAGGTGCGGGGCCAGACTCCCCTCCACCCCAGGAGCAGGGTTTCTGAGGTGGGCAGCTGCAGGGCTGGTGGCCTGGAGCTCTGTGATGCTGCTGTGCCTCTGTCGGGGGCTAGAGCAGCACTGAGAGATGCGGAGTGCAGCCAGTGCCCGTGGCCGCAGCATGGGGCGGGCCTCCTGGGGCTGTTGAGGCCTGTGGGAGGAGGCTCCTGGAAACCTCGAGAGAAGCAGCTGTTCTCTTCAGAGGAGGGAGCAACTGATTTAAACAAGTGGAAGTAAAAAGTCTGAAATTTGTTTTCTCCAAGTTTAAATTGCATGTTTTTAGGACATGTTGAGACTAAATCACTTAAAGAGGAAAAAACCTCATCATATTTATTTATTTATTTTTGAGACAGGGCTTCACTGTGTAGCCCAGGCTGGCCTGGAGCTCTAGGCAATCCTCTTGCCTCAGCCTGCCGAGTGCTGGGACTGTACATGTGCGTCCCCACTCCTGGCTAGCTATATTTAAATAACCTGCAAGCCAAATTTCACCAGAGAAACTAGAAAATGTTTGAACTAGTGATGGTAGAGATGGAGCAGGTGGGAAGGAGCAGCGTGCACATCTTAACCTCCTCCAGGCGCGCTGTCCAGTCCTGTGAAGGCTCTCCTTGATGCTGTGCAATCTAACCCCATCTTCATTTTAAAAACTTGCACTTGGGAAACAAGACACCAACTCAGAACTCAAAAAGTTGCCTTTATGTTCAGGATCCAGTAAATCTTTAATATTCTGGGCCTGTTATTTTAAGGATGTATTAGTTCATGATGACGTAAAGCAATAGCCTTGTTTCCACACATTGTTCTCATTGCTTTATATAGTTTATTATAAGTTCTATACATTGCTCGTTTTTTCTCTTTATTCTTTTCATATTATGCAATACTGAAAGTTACGTACATTGTTTAAAAATAGTGTTGCCATTCTAGGTGGCTTTCCCTGTGGCTGTTATAGCAGATTTTGGATGTATGGCACTGCTTCTTTATTAATATTGAAGGAATTTAACAAAAATGTCCCATGCATTTCTGAAACGACTGTGATGTCATGTAGCAGTGAGCATATAGAAAAGGAAAGGAGCAAAGTAAGAGAGTTTTCTCCTACAGCTTGTCCCGCTACAACTCTGAGTTACCCCTTAAGTGCTAGATCAGTTTCGTGGTTGCAGAGTCCCGCTGCTGGCGGGGCCTGGCCTTTCTGCAGGGGATGCTCACTGTTCCTGCCTCCCTGCCCTGGGAGCGCACTCAGGCACACCCTGGGGAACGCTGCTATGTCCGTCCAGAGGATGTGCTTCCGCGCAGCCCTCGAGGGAGAGAGCCCTCGGGATGTTCTCATGGCATTTCCTCAGCCTTCACCCAGCAGCAGTTTGTCTTATTTTTTATTTTTTTAAATCTTTATTTTATTTATTTATTTATTACCTGACACAAGGTCTCATTGCACAGCTCAGACTCCTAGTGATCCTCCTGTCTCAGCCTCCCCAGCGCTGGGATTATAGGCGTGTGCCACTGGTGGCCCGTGGTACTGGGGATTGAACCCTGGTCCTTGAGCTTGCCAGGCAGGCGCTTAGATCACTGAGCTATCTCCCTAGCCCCAGCAGTGCTCTTTGATCTGCTTCAGACCCTTGCCTAGTGCGTCACGGTGTCACCTTTCCTTTTAGGGATCTAAGGGATTCCAGCTTTCTGGTTACATTTTAATGGTTTCTGACTCCCGCCTGGCTCTGCAGAGACGTGAAAGAACTCTCCAGCTCTTGGCACAGTGCCTTCTGGCAGTCAGCGGCACGTCCTTCCTGAGACTGTCCACGGTGGCATCACAGTGTGCTGTGTGTGGCCTGATGACCACGCACTGCTCACGCTGTTGTGGCAGCTGTGGCCCGGTGGCGCTTTCCCCTCCGTCATCCTCCTGTCTGAGCTGTGCCTCATGGCTTCCTGGGCCATTGGCAGCCAGCCTAGCAGGGTGCAACTTAGGAGGACTCTGTTCTCCCCATAGTATTTCATGTGAAGGAAAATTTCAGACCCGTTATGTGTGACGATGTGATTTTTATTCTGTGTTTCTAAACTGCTGCTGCTTGGGTTGTGTCTGTGCATTGAACAGGTTCTAAGCAGACCGCCTTACTGAATATGTTGAACTGATTCACTGCACATCAGTTTTGAAATGCTTGAATTTGGATTTCACCCCCAAACTCCTTATGCTCCTAATGGGGTCTTCTGGTTTCCCGAAGTTGCATTTATCTGGTGGACTGCCCAGAGATCTCCTGGGCAGCGCCGTGGCCGCCTCACAGCACAGGGAGGGCTCATCACGCAGCTCCCTACCCCATGCCGCGGTGATGGCCGGGCCTTCCCTTGGGCTCACTGGCATGCGGGAGTTGACCCAGGATTGCTCCTGGAGTTCGGTGGCTCTGGGTTAGGAGTGGGAACCTTAGTTTTCCTCTTGGGAAGACTGACATGTCTGTGCATACTAACGCAGGGGCTTTATCTTGGTGTCTGCTTTTGCCCTCCAGGTGACCTCTATGGGGCCATCGGCTCTCCAGTGAGGCTGACCCGCACCGTGGTGGTGGGGAAGCACAAGGATTTGGTCCAGCGCATTCTGTACGTCCTGACCTACTTTCTCCGTTGCTCTGAGCTACAAGAGAACCAACTGACCTGGAGTGGGAAACACAGTGACGGGGACCAGGTTCTCAATGGGAGCAAGATTGTTACTGCCTTCGAGAAGGGAGAGGTGGAGGAGTCCGAGTACGTGGTGGTCACGGTGAGCAACGAGCCTGCTCTTGTGCCTCCTGTGCTACCACCCATGACAGCCAAGAGAGGAGGCCCTGGCCCCCCAGGGTCAGCCGGGACCTCAGATGGCACTGACATGAGAGACCTGGTTCCCAGCCCGGACAGAGAGGGGAACAGGAGGCTGAAGCAGAGCACCGAGGCTTGTGGCACAGGGTCCCCAGGGCCCCCACTGGATGATGCCTGGCCCCTGCAGGGTGCATTTTGTGGGGGTAGAGACAGCAAGGAAGCAGCACCTCCAGCTGGCACCTCAGGACCTCCCTGCTGTCAGTTTACAGGGGTAGGAAGAAAAGCTGACCCCCAGACAATGGGGGAGGAGATGCCCAAGAAAGGACAGGAGCGGTCCACAGCCCAGCCATGCCCAGACAGACACTCCTGGGAGGGGCCTCCTGTAGGAAAAGTCACTTTCCAGATCGGCAGCTCTGTGTCCCCCGAGTCTGACTGTGAAAGCCACACTAGAAACATGGACGAGAGGCTGAAGGACTACGGGCAGCACTTGGGGGCAGCTGGTGCCTCGGAGGCCTGGGACCGACGGGAGTCCAGCAGGGGCTTTGCTGAGGATACAGGCGTTGCTGGGCAGCTCCGCCAGGCTGCTTGCCCATGGGCACCCCCCAGCCTTGCCACAGGAGCGGGAAAGATGCTGGACTCGGGAGGGCCTGCACTGGCACCTGCTGCGGACAGGTGTGTTCCACGGGACCTGGGCCCCCTGGGAGCTGCTGCTGTCCCCCATGGGGATGCCAATAGGAAGGCTGCCTTCAGGGTTGAAGGAGCCCTTCCCAGAAACAACAGCTCTGACAGCGCTCTGGGCGACAGTGACGATGAGGCATGCTCTTCAGCCACACGAGATCCAAGTCACAATGGTGAGATTGCAGAAACATCCTCAGAAGTGGAGCTGCCTCTGCCCAGGTAATGCCTGCCAGCTAGGAGGTCTCTGGCTGGCACGTGGTAGCTGTGGGCTCTTCAGTGTGTTCCTTCCCTCAGCACTAGAAGTGTCCCCATGGCAGTGCCAGTGACCTGCCAGCCCTCCATTCAGGGATACCTCTAGACACAGCAGGGCTGAGCTCCCTTGGTGCCTCTACCTGCTGACGTTGTGGCAGCTGAGGATTAGGGTGGGGGTGCTGGCAGGCCAGGGCACCGAGCTTCTGTCGTCACCGGAAGCTAGGGGCTGGTGGCAGCTGAGGCCTGGCCTCTGTGTCCAAGACAGTGACTAGCGCCAGCTTGCTGTAGGTGCCCACACCTCTGCCTGCCACCATGTCAGTGCTTTGCTCACTGTGCCCGCTGAGAGCAAAAGGGAGAGAGCTCTACTCTTGCAAGGCGAGAGGCCTTTGCAGACGCCTCTCCTGCAGCCAGGCCCTTGGCAGCAGCCCCCAGGTCTCCTTCTTCCTCACCCCTTGACAGAGTGTCTGGGGGTGGTCAGTGTGAGGTGTAGGAACGACCTAAGCAGCTGTGGAGAGCCTGTGCCCGGTTTTGTTTTTAAGAACTCGCTTTTCTTCCCCAGCTGCTGCCTCACCGCCAAATCTTGGACAGTTAGCACCGCGAACCCGCCGTATTTGCTGTGTCACTAGGATTTGTGTGCCTTCTGCAGTGCAATCGGGACGATTTTCGTAAGCGTCCATTTTAATGGCTGGATGTCGTTTAGGTCTCAGAGCATCAGCAACCCAAGTGTGAGGAACTTCGGCCGCTCCCTTCTGGCGGGTTACTGCCCTGCATACGTGCCGGACCTGGTGCTTCATGGGACCAGCAGTGATGAGAAGCTGAAGCAGAGCCTGCTGGCTGATCTGGTCCACGCGGTACATGTGAGTGACCAGCCGGGAGCCTCGGCCACTGAAGTGGCTGGCAGAGGGTTCAGACTGACTGGCACCTGGGGAAGCGATTGTTCTAGTGATGTAGGTGGGTGACTGGAGGAGCACAGCTGGGTGAGGTGCAGGAAGCAGAGTGGCCCTGCGCAGTGCCTCTCTGCTGCCCTCTGAGCCCAGCCGGAAGCCGGAGGGCAAGGTCACAGCGATGCAGGTGGTGGGGTCCAGGGGTAGCTCAGCACACAGACGATGCCCAGGTGGTGACTGCCACGGGCCATCTTGGAGGGCTGAGGGATGTGCATGGCTTAATTTTATTTGGTCCTTATAACTTCGTGGAAGTAATTTATTTAGGCTGACTTGTCACTGAGATCACTTGGGTGGCTATGTAGAGATGACCGAGTCTCGCTGGACAGTCCTCAAGGCTTCCATGCAGTGCTTTTCTGAGGTCTGTGAACAGCAAGAACTGAGCAACTAAGGAAGTGGTCAGGGCCATGGGCCTGTTTACCACTTAGCTGCTGTTGGGCAGAGGTGCAAAGATAGTTTTGGGGTTTTTTAATGTATTTGGTACAGGGTCTCACTGCACAGCTCGGACTCCTAGTGATCCTTCTGTTTTCAGCCTCCCCAGTGCTGGGATTACAGGCGTGCGCCACCACACCTGGTCTTGGCCTACTCAGCGCAGGCATGTGGTACCAGGGATCAAATCCAGATGCTAGTACTTGCCTAAGTAGATGCATTCTCTACTGAGCTGTCTCCATGGCCCCAAAGATAGATGTTTTGTATGAGAAATACATTGTGTCTTGTGCCATAGGGAGAGTCCTCACTGCAGTAGGGAATGTGGAATTTGGCCTTCCTCCTTACTCAGTGAGGTTTTTGGCAAGGTGGAACAGAAGGCGTTGAATTTGTTTTTCCTCTCGAGCCCGTCCTCTGCAGGCTAAACATACATCAGACACACGTAAGCAGGCTGCTATTTGGGTGACCTGGAAAGCAGGTGTACTCAGATCCCTGCCCCCACCCGAGTGAGGAGCTGTGCTGCCCACAGCTGGGGCTGTTGGGATGTTGCCAGACCTGCCCTGCAGAACAGGTGACCTCGATGCTGCGGGCTGAAGCAGTGCAGTGGCTTCTGTCTTCCGGAGCTGCACAGCTTGCTCCCTCCTAGTGGCAGAGCACACCCTCCTGTGTGAGGGCCCAGGCCCTCTGTGGACCCCATAGCCACTGTGCTGTAGGGTGGAGAATTGGAAGCCGCCCCTCCTCACCCCCTTGGAGTCAGGGTTTCTCTTTGTGTTTGCGCTTCAATTCTGGCCTTGAACTCACTTTGTACCCCGGCTGCCCTTTAATTTGCAGTGATCCTCCTGCCTCCTGCCTCAGCCTCCCCAGTGCTGGGATTACAGGCATGCACCACCACCCTGGCTCTATGCCTTTTGTTTCCACACATTACGTTTGTATCGCAGCGTGAGAAACCTGTGTGTGCTTCTCGGCCTCTGTTGTCGGGGTTACTCCCTGCACCTCTCTTCCACACGACCTCTCTGCTGTTGCTGATAGAGACACCGAGAGACCGCGTGAGCTGTCCTTGGGCCCAGGGAGCCTGTCAGCTGGGGATTTTCCCTACTGCCCTGCACCCACTGGCTGACCATGAAGGAGGTGCAGCCTGGGGACTGATGGCCCTCCCTGAAACCATTCAGGGAAAAGTCTCAGGCTTTCTGTGGGCGGGCAAGCCCCAGTATCTCAATGTTAGATTTTCATTGTGACCATCTGGCTCTTTAATTCTTAGATTTGAAAAAACAAAACCATGTTTATGGTATCATGCCCCATAAAGCTACATTTCATTTTCCCCCTTTGTTTTGAAGGGTGTTTTTTCACTGTAGTATTTCTTCTTTAAACTATGCTGTCACCCTGAAAAGTTGAAAGTCACTAAGCATGATAACCTACATTGTGATAGCTGTGAAGTGCAGCCATGCCTGCATGTTCATAGGAAATTGTGGAGGTTCTTAAGAACATCTTCAGAAGTTCGGTCCATTCTGAACATCTCCAGCTAGTGTCAGTGGGTTTTTACGTTCATTTGACACGTTCTTTATCGTCACAGTGAACTTGCTTTTGAAGTAGTGTTCCCTGTAGACTGTGTCTCAGACTGGCACTCTGTTCTGGAGCAGGTTTCTTTCTTTTTTTTTTAAAGAAAAAAAACCTTTCTTTTCAAGTTCCATTTACAAATATTTGTTGAAAATAAATTGTTTTTTTAAAAAAGTCTGTTGAATTTACTGCTCCATAAAGCATAGTGATTATTTAAATTTCTGAGACAATTGCCAGAGAAGAAGCAAAGATCCGTAGCCAAGCACAGGGCCAGAGTTGGAGCTGCAGAGAAGAGCAGTGGAGGGCAGAGACTGGGATGAGTCATGCTGTCATTCCTTGCTTTCAGAACACGTCTTTTGAGCATGAATAATTTTCACTGTTCATGCCAGACTTCACCAGGCTTCCGTATTTGCTATTCTCTTTAGAGAAAGATTTTTAATGACTCTTTCAGAGCAATTGATTTGGGCTGTTGATCTGTGTTCTAGACCTTTGCTGACTTGTACTGTAAGCTCAGCTTTACACGACATGTACTTTATGGCCACAGGGATGGGTTTGGAGTTTTTCTTGCTGAGGATTCATTTTTGGGCTTGTAGTGGTGAGACCTTCTCTTTTTGTTTTTCTTATCCAAGTCTCCTGTGAAGGAAAGCTACACCAACTTTGTATCATTCATTTTTTTTCACTGATTTTTACATATAAAGACATATAGACTCCATTCTTTAAGTACTTGAACCCACGTTCTTGATCAGTCTGTATGCTACCTCTTCTCTATTATTTGGCCTCTTTCCCTACACTCTGGCATGCAGGTTCTACAGCTGCCTTAAATTACTCTAAGGAATATTGCTTCATGCTTTTCCTGCCACACCTAAAGCCTGTTCCCCTTCCTGTTCTCTTTGTAGGGAGAGGGAGGGAAATGGGTATGGCAGCACCCATGGCCTGCACTGCCATTGGTGCCTGCCCAAGACCCTGCTGATCTTTGGCTCCAGAGTCCTCTGCTTGTTGGAGTGGCTGACTGTGGGGCAGAGGCAGAGCTGATGGTTGGGCCCCAGTCCTGTCACCCCACTCGGTCACTGATGATCTTGAATAAATTGACTGGCAACTCTAAGCCTCAGATGTTTTATCTTAGTACTTTTTGCTTATTGCTGAGACAAAATACCCAACATCCGAAGTTAAAAGGGGAAAGGTTTATTTAGCGCACAGTTTATAGAGATTTCAGTTTTGGTTCCAAGGCAGGGTGGCACAACAGTGGTGCATTTCAGAGGAGAAACAGTTCATGGTGGCAGAAGACAGGAAAAGCAGCAAGCAGTGGGGAGACGAGACTCGTTCAGTCCCTTATGTTGTCTGCAGTCGGCCGTAGGGCGGGTGTAGCGCTCTCACCCTTAACCCCAGCCAGAACTATGCCAGGCCAACCATGGGCTGATTTATTGATCACACGCCCTGAACCCCAGCATCACACACTGTAGATCCAGCCACCTCTGAAAAAGCTCCGTGATGGCATGAGGCTTTGTGGGGACACCTAGACACAAACCTAACAGATATATTTAGAGGGATGGGTATAACACAATCCATTGGAGTGGCTTTGTGGCTTTGTAGCCTGGGGGCAAGTTCTTTAATTTCTGGATCTGTAAAATGAATAGTACTGGTGTTACAGGTTTGGTTTGCAGATTCTGTGAGATAATCCATATCAGATATTTAGTGTAACACCTGGCACATTACTAAATAACCAATAAATGTAAGTTATTAACATATGTGAAAGTGTTTTGTGAATGATAAAGCAATATAATGTGTTCTTAACATGGAGAGCAAAATGACCATTATTTAATTTAATTAATTTTTTGTGCTGGGAATTGAATTTAGGACCTTGGACTTACCAGCCAGGTTGCTTATGCCACTGAGCTATCTGCCTGGCTGACAACCATTATTTTATTTATTTATTTAGTTTCACTTTAGGCACATTTATTTTATTTTATTTCTTTTTTAAAAATTTTTTTCCCATAATTTTATTGAGACACAAATAGCAATGAGACAGTTTCAAATCAAATTGGTATGACAGTTTCAATAATTAAAACATTGCATACTCTCTTCCTAGTGGATATTTTGCTGTACAAGATGCAGACATGATATCCTATTTACAGATACTATTAGAACAAATCCCTCTATTCATTAAGAGAATGTAGCTATATATCTATCCTAACCACTTTGAATACACAGATACAAAATGGACATTCATCTCTATCCCCTTTTTTGTTTAGTTCCATCATTTGAATATTATAGGTGTGTTAACTCAGCAAAATATTCTAAAACAGTCGAGTAGCCCATAATAGTATTGGGTCTTCCTCTTAACCTGACAGTGTCAGAAATTGCTGACCTGAGTCCCCTACAGCTCAACATAACAGCATGGCTTTACTTCTTATACTTCATTTTTATACTTTTCTGCTGGATGGTTAAGACCAAGATAAAGCAGGACCTAGGCAACAAGAGTTGTAGCTTTTGGATCTGATAAGGCCAGTCAAATCCCCTCAGGATTTATCCTGAGATCCTGTACCTCAGATTGTGGAACCTTTGTCAGTGTCAGCCATGTGGATGAGTCACGGCCATTGCTTGGCCAATGTGCTCTCTGTGAAAGCCTGAGAGAGTGTCTTCTCCCCATGTGACTCTCCTTAGGCACACTCTACATTATCGATTACTTTCCTGTTTGGCCCCATAATCTCCTTGATCAGAAAATTTGGGACACTACTGAGTTACGTGACGTTCCAGTACAAGTTCTCATATGTCCTGAGTCTTAATTGACCTTGGAAGGCTAGGGACAAAATGTTGGCTTTCCTTGCAGCCCTCCTTTTTCTTTAATTTTGGTCAGCAAACTTAGGTTATTAACCCTCCAGAAGAGAAGCTTATTGTTATTACCTTACAACCTAGGCTGTTAAGCTTAACCTCACTAT